ATTGTACAGATTGCAGTTACCTACTGTCTAAGGTCTTTAAATTTCTATTAACAAAATCTGTCTGTTTGATCATAAGTTTAGCTGTCTATCTTTTTGTATATCTCTTTATCTACATATCTCTCTATCTTTCCATCTGTCAGTTTACATGTGTATCTATCCACCTATGTATCATTTTTTTCTATCTATCTATCTACACATTAATCTATAACTATCTACGAATCAATCTATAGTCATCTATATATCCACCTAATATCCACGTACCAATCAATATTCATATATCTATCATGCATTCAAAGTACAGAATCTAAAAAGAACAAAAAATCTATCCAAATATCAACAGCAAAAAACGAAACAAAAACAAAAAATCATGAAAAAATAACTCATTATCACAACTTTTTAAAAATGGACGACTGTATCTCGAAGAACATTACAAAGGTGACTTCTCAGCTTCGTTATCAGAGAAACCGTTACGTGATAATGAATAATCATTAAGACAAGGTCCCCATAGCGCTTATCAGTTTCTCTGTCAACAACTGATAAAGGTGGATATGAAACTGCTAGCACGTAATATTGGTATTTCCAATCGCACTTTGGGTTTAGAACATTAAGCCAAGATAGATAAGAGGGCAATATATATTCCCAAAGTGATGGATATGATGTAACAGGGTTTTGAAGAAAAAACAATTATTTAACAGGGCTTTGAAGAAAATAATGTTTATTTAACAGAGCTTTGGAGAAAACAATGTTTATTTAACGGGGCTTTGGAGAAAACAATGTTTATTTAACAGAGCTTTGAAGAAAAAACAATTATTTAACAGGGCTTTGAAGAAAATAATGTTTATTTAACAGAGCTTTGAAGAAAAAACAATTATTTAACAGGGCTTTGAAGAAAATAATGTTTATTTAACAGGGTTTTGAAGAAAAAACAATTATTTAACAGGGCTTTGAAGTAAATATGGTTTATTTAACAGAGCTTTGGAGAAACAAGGTTTATTTAACAGGGCTTTGAAGAAAACAATATTTATGTAACAGGGTTTTGAAGAAAACAATGTTTATTTAACAGGGCTTTGGAGAAAACAATGTTTATTTAACAGGGCTTTGGAGAAAACAATGTTTATTTAACAGGGCTTTGGAGAAAACAATGTTTATTTAACAGGGCTTTGGAGAAAACAACGTTTATTTAACAGGGCTTTGGAGAAGACAACGTTTATTTAATAGGGCTTTGGAGAAAACAATGTTTATTTAACAGGGTTTTGAAATCAGAAACAGGTCAATGTTATGCAACAGGGTTTCGGAGTCTCAAACAGATGGATATTTAGTTTTTTATTGAGGAACTCCTTTCCTTTTTGGCCATTGAATTAGCTATAGTATTCCCTTTATTACATTTTTTTGAAAATAAGGTACAAAAGTCTTTTTTTTGTATTTACATTTTTTTTATCATTCATCTCTATCTGTCTGCCTCTCTCTCTCTCTCTCTCTCTCTCTCTCTCTCTCTCTCTCTCTTGCTCGCTCGCTTACTCGCACTCCCTTTCTATCTCTCTCTTTCTAACTCTCCCTCTCTACCCCCTTTCCTTTCCCTCCTTTTCTCCTTCTCTCTCTCTCTCTCTCTCTCTCTCTCTCTCTCTCTCTTTCTCCCTTCCCCTCGCACACGTTCCACTCACATCGACATCCTCTCTTTCTCGTATTCGTGCATGGGTATCGTGTCCGTAGATTTGGTCTGGTCCTTGGCGAAGAACCGGAGGAACTCGCCGAAGACCGTCGCTTCCATGTTATTCCCGAGGCTGACCAGGAGGAACCACTCGCTCAGGGACGATTCCTTCATGATCGCTGTGACGTCGGAGTGGAAGGACTCCCTCACGTACAGCTGTGTGTGTGTGGGGGGGGGGAGAAGGGTGAGAGGGCGGGTAGGGGTGGGGAGAAGGGTGAGAGGGCGGGTAGGGGTGGAGGTGGGGGAGAAGGGTGAGAGGGCGGGTAGGGGTGGGGGTGGGGGGGAGAAGGGGGAGGGGGCGGGGTAGGGGTTGGGGTAGAAGGGTGAGAGGGCGGGTAGGGGTGGGGGGAGAAGGGAGAGGGGGCGGGGTTTAGGGGGGGGGGAGAAGGGTGAGAGGGCGGGGTAGGAGTGGGGGGGAGAAGGGGGAGGGGGTGGGGTAAGGGGTGAGAATGTGGGGAAGAGGAAGGTGGGGGGAAGGGGTGAGGGGAAGGTAAGGTGAGGGGTGAGAGGGTGGGGGGTGAGAAAGAGGGGGTGGGAGATAAAGGATGAGAATGTCGGGTGGAGAAAGATGGGGAAGGGAAAGGTAAGAAGAGGGGATACAAGGCAAGATAGGGGAAGAGGAGAGAGAGGAATGGGTAAGAGAGAGGGGTGAGAGGGGGAAATGGGGGTGGGAGGGGAGGATAGGGAGAGGGGGGGGGGTGACGTGAGAGGGAAACAGGTCAGAGGTCAGTCACTGGGTATGGCGACGAGTGGTATGGACAGAATGTGTTGAGAATGTGAATGATGAATTCT